ATGGACTTTCTGGTCTGGACACGATGTCAGACAGGATGAGAGATGAATATAGAGGTCATGATAGAGAGGGTGCAAGTACCTGTATTGTCTTTAAAGATTCTGGCATTGAACAATGTATTTGGGTTTTTGGCGGAGTTCCTGGTTCTCGTCTGGGGTGACAAACCATTTTGGGGTCCTTGATCAAATTCCTGGAACACCGTGAACACTTGTTGTTACCTGTTCAGTTTGTTATGTAGTAATTGGATGCTGTGTATGGATTATTTCAAAGTTATGAGGTACAATTTGGACGATAGATTGGAAACATGAGAAGTATTACGACCACATCCAACTGAAAAAATTATGAACGACATTTAAGTGACATTGTAATTACCATCATCAGATAAAATTACTGAATATTTTCAGAATTTATTATAAATAATTATTCAGTACTCTTTTGTTTGAAGATGTTACCAATGCTTATAAAATGCTAACAAAGTAGAGAAAAAGTTTTCTTTATTAAAATGTATAAGTTACTAGCTTTCGGGCTCCAAGCCCTTCCACAGGTACGGCTGTGGAAGGGCTTGGAGCCCGAAAGCTAGTAACTTATACATTTTAATAAAGAAAACTTTTTCTCTACTTTGTTAGCATTTTATAAGTCTTTAAAGAGAAATTTTATTTTTCGTTAATGTTACCAATGCTGTTACTGAAACATCAGACATAACTTATTCATTAGGTCTTTTTACTTCATTTTTGGATTAATTTAAAGCTTGTGAAAAGTGTGTCATTTGAAACAGAATAATAATTCATATTCCAATTTAAAATTCAATAGCTCCTATTTCAGAAATGGCTGGTTCAGGCTTGAATAATATTTTTAAAAATGGGCAAAAATCATTCAAAGATTATGTGTCTGGGGCAGAAATGTAACGCGCTGTGCAAAGATTACACAAATTCCATGAGTCCATGCTCCTCTAGCTTTTTGATGATAAGCAGCGGCCTCTCTCAAAGGTCCTGTTATATATGGATACATGGATGTGTTATTTACTCACAGAGAGGGCCTTTTCACAGTGTTTGGAAGTCTGGGAGTCCGCGGAGTAGAGCTTCCAGGCCAACTTGCGGTTCTCCTCTTTCAGCTTGTTGTTCTCGTTGAGCAGCTGGCAGTAGGGTTTGCTCAGGGTGAGGTCCTCCAGGCCGGACAGGACCTGGTTCTCTGACAGCTGGCCTTCCAGCTCCCGTACCTAGGGTCACAGGCTGTCTTGGACATCTTCATCTCACGGGCCAGCCACTTCAGCTCCCCTTCTCCCTCAGTCCCATGAGCTCTGCCATGAAGGGATCCCTGTTGACCATTGGCTTGTTCTTTATGCTATGGGAAGTAAGGAGCAAACATCAACCTAGACCTACCTTGCAGCATGCGAGTCAGCTTGGAGTCACGGTAGGGTACGTGAGCGTTGTCATCACAGAGGGCGCTGATGACATTGCCCAGGGACAGGAGGCCGCGGTTGATTTGGATTCCTGCAACCCAGGCAGTGTCACTCGACACCAAGTCTTGTAGCGGGGAGATTCCTGGACTAAGCTCTCCCTTAAGCTCTCCCTTACATTCCCCACCAATCTCACAAGGTTGTTAATTATCCCATAGAATTTCACCTGACATGGAATTTTTAAGGCCAAAATATAGATTAGTACTCTATGCCCAATTAAGAACATTCTGGTAGATGTTATTGAACCCCTGGCAGTAAAACTGGATATCTTGTATTGAGAATCTTTATCCAGACAGACAAGGAGCAATGATACAAGTGAAACAATGCCATAAAACAGAGTGCGGAGCTTGGAAGAAAGGCAGAGCACAAGTGTCTACCAACAGCTTACCTTCCTTGAGCATCTCTACCTCTCAAACCTCAAGGTATGCTATTTTTATTTATAAATTACTGCTAAAATTTATTTTTTCCAATCTCTATTTCCAATATTTTTTCATTGCATTGAGTGCAGCAGGAAACGTTGAACCTAAACAACAGTTTTATATTTTGGAAGTCAAACTTGGCTTGTGTAAAAAAGCGGAAGGGCCAAGATATCAGCAAGAATACTGAGGTAACTTTGGCAGGAAAGGGAGCAACAAGACAATAAATAAATAAATAAATGATGTGTGACATTTCAGTAACAACAATGTTACCATCTTCAGACAAAATTGCTGAATGAGTTGTCTGAAAATTTTAATAACATTTTTAGTGAAATATCACATGTGATTTATTTATTAAGAGCAGTAGTCTTTTTTATATAAAAAAATAGACACTTCGGCCAGTTGGAGTTTTTTTATTTTCTCAACGTTTCGACAAAAATCTTTTGTCTTCGTCAGGAGAAGTAAATAAAAATAAAGCATTTGGCAAGGTGTTAAAAATTGTTCTAATAAAAAACTCCAACTGGCCGAAGTGTCTATTTTTTATATAAATATGAATGCCGGCCAGGCAGCCTCTATCTTTACGAGAAGTAGTCTTGCTATCTTTTAATTTTTAATCCATATTGTACCATATTAATCTGCAGGAAAAAAAGATGAAATGATATAAACACAGCCTCTTTCTCATATTAGAAGAAAGGCAATAACCCAGGCTCCAGCAACATACAAGGTTTAGACAGCAGGAGTTTAAAGACTAAGATCTGAGGATTGGGAGGAGAGACACGTTAGACTGGTACTTACATGGATGCCGCTCTTTGAATCTTCTCTTATGTTGAGGCTCTCCATTGTCCTGACCAGCAGGTCAAAGAGCTCCTCCTTGTGGATCTGTGGACACAGCCGCACATTGTACTTCACTATCCCACAACCTTCGATAACACCCCTTCTGTATTTGATTGAATGTTCAATGGATAATATAAGGAAACAATTTTCAAATTTACTATCTACTCACTATCTTTTTAGGCTTTGGGGAAAACATGGAGAATACTCGATTCTTCAGGGACTTTCTAGCCTGGACAAGATGTCAGACAGGATGAGAGTTGAATATAGAATTCAAGGTAGAGAGGGGAGGGCAATTACCTGTATTGTCTTTAGAAGGCTTTGGCATTGAACAATGTCTTGGGCTTTTCGGCGGTGTTCCGGGTTTTCATCTGGGGTGATAGAATAATTGAGGTCGCTGAAGGAAGTGCTGGAGCACTGTGAACACTTGTTGTTACCAGGTCAGTTTGTTATGTAGTAATTGGATTCTGTGTAATGGATGTGATAAGGTCCAATTTGGATTATAGATCGGAAACATGAAGTAATAAGCTCCCATATCTAACTGAATAAATTATTCACGGCGATTCAGTAAAAGTGTAATTATCATCAGCAGACAAAAGTCCTGGATCTTTTCAGAGTTCATTTTCAGTAATCATTCTCAGTACTTTTTCCGAAGATGTTAACAATACTGTTACTGAAACATCAGCCATAACTTATTCGTTAGGTCATACTACTTTATTTTGGAATTATCCAATTCCATTTCAAAACTGTCTGGTTTATACCAGAATAATGTACAAAAATGGGCGAAAATCATTCAAAGATTATAGGTGCCTGAAACAAAAATGTAACACGCACCAAATTAAAACATGGGGAACCACAAGTGATGTTTCGGTAACAACACATCAGTAATATATTATATAATATATTATCAGGATACCTATCCCATTTACAAAAATAAAAACATATATAAACCATTTTCTATGCTCATATTTAGACAAATATAACGTTCATGAAAATAACTAGCCTGTATCCAGGCGGCCATTTATTTTGGAGCTAAGTCGGCCTGCCACTGAGTAGTGCTCCCAGTCTTAATGACAAAGGCACACGCATTCTACTTCACTCAGTATGGAGATAAGAAAGAAGAAGAAGACCAGCCTGTATGCCATGGTTTATGGTCCTCATCAGAAGGTGGGTGGACTTCAGTTTTCCTGAGGTCCTACTGGGAGAGGTGTCTTTTCACACCTGAGTGAGGTAGGGGAAATTTATTTTTTTAAGATAGACCAAAGGTTAGAGTGATGACATGTACTACAGTAGATGACATTGTCACAAACAAACCTGGTACCAAACGACCGTGGTCACATTCTCCTGCAGGGAGACGATGAACTTCTTCATCTTCAGGTCCTGGTCCAACTCTGAGAGCTGGCGGTGCAAGTCAGCCTGCACGATTTCGGACTCTTTCTCAAAGTTGTCCTCGTCCACTGCCGGACTGTTGGGGTTGTTGGCTGTCAACCTCGACACTGGCACACAACTCTGGCTGTTTGTGTGGACTCTTTATTACACAACACATTTTATAGAATTACTAACACTGGTGACATCTTGCAACAAATGTCAATATTTAAGTCAGGTAGTGGCAAATGACAAAATAAATAACAGATATATTACAAGAAAATAAATTTTATAGAATACCTGAAATAAAGAGAACAACATATTCGGGTTTATATCTCTGAAGTAAAAATATGTGTCTGCTTTTGTAATTAATTCTGGGAACACTCCTCAAGATAGCTAGTACATCAAGAATTTGTGAGTTCAAGAAAAGCTGGATTTCACTTATAACTTGACCTGGCTAATTATGACACCTTTTTAAATTAAAAAAGATGATTTCTTTCATTTTCTTGAGAATTTAAAATTGAACTTCCTTACCATTTTCTTGGGAGAAACGTGGAAAATTCCAACTTTTTCGATGGACTTTCTGTCCTGGACACGATGTCAGACAGGATGAGGGCTAAATATAGAGGTCAAGATAGAGAGTGCAAGTACCTGTATTGTCTTCAGGAGATTTTGACAGTGGCGGAGTTCCGGGTTCTCGTCTGGGTTAATAGACCTATCAAGGTCGTTGACGGAAGTCCTAGAACATGGTGAACACCTGTTGTCACTAAGTCAGTTTGTTATGTAGTAATGGGATGCTGTGTGTATGGAATTTTATAAAGTGATACGGTACAAATTGGATTATAGTTCAGATGAAAATGTTTCTAAATGTGAAAAAGGTCATTTCACTATATTACGATGCACTAGCGCGCCATCTGTTATGAAAATTAGAAAATATTTTAGACGCGTAAGATTCTTTTTGAAATTAAACAATTTATACTGCCCATACTGCAATGGAAAAATTAATGGGACCTGGCTAAGAACGACAAAACCTTTTTAAATATAAAAATGATTTCTTTCGTTTTCTTGAGAATTTAAAATTGAACTTCCTTACCATTTTCTTGGGAGAAACGTGGAAAATTCCAACTTTTTCGATGGACTTTCTGTCCTGGACACGATGTCAGACAGGATGAGGGTTAAATATAGAGGTCAAGATAGAGAAAGAGAGACAAGTACCTGTATTGTCTTCATGAGATTTTGACATTGGCGGAGTTCCAGGTTCTCGCCTGGGTTGATAGACCTATCAAGGTCGTTGACGGAAGTCCTGGAACACGGTGAACACTTTTTATCACCAAGTCAGTTTGTTATGTAGTAATGGGATGCTGTGTATATGAATTATTTTAAAGTGATACGGTTCAATTTGGGTTATAGTTCAGATGAAAATGTTTCTAAATATGAAAAAGGTCATTTCACTATATTACGATGCACTAGCGCGCCATCTGTTATGAAAATTAGAAACTATTTTAGACGCGTAAGATTCTTTTTGAAATTAAACAATTTCTACTGCCCTTACTGCAATGGAAAAATTAATGGGAGGTCCTGGCTCATCAGTGGTGAACCCTCCCAGCGGTTTCGCCAGTTTAATCTACCATTTCGATGTTATATTGCATTTTTCGATCTTCCTTTTATAGTGATACTGTTGTTAGACTCTTGGAATGGGTATTTTAGATGAGCCAGGCCTGCTCATTAATTTTTCCATTGCAGTAAGGGTAGTAGAAATTGTTTAATTTTAAAAAGAATCTTACGCGTCTAAAATAATTTCTAATTTCACTCTATAAATAAGATTCTTGCAAATGTCCAACCCATCAGTAAGTGCTAGTAACCAAACGGGGCTCTGGCACCTTGCAAGTGCAATCATGAAATTGCTTTAAGTTTCTTTACCAAGATAAAAATGCCTACCAGCGTTAGCTCAATCATCAGACCAGTTGTTTCGCAAATACCTACAATTTATATAGAGAAGTGTTGAAGGAAATTACATATTTTAAAGTTTAGCTAAATTCTAAAATAATTCAAATATTTATCATAAAAATTGATTTACTTATACCAAATATAACGAAAATAATTTTTATATCTAGGCTAAACAAAATTATTGATATGTACAGTTAAACCTGTCTATAGCGCCCCCTCTTGGGACTCACCAAAATAGGGTGCTATAGACAGGTAACTTTTAATGTAAATCTAATCGTATTACGTATTTAAAATCGGGCGCTATAGAGATGGAGGCGCTATTTAGAGGGGGCGCTATAGACAGGTTTAACTGTATATACATAATATGACGCATTAGCGCGCCATCTGTTTTGTGAGGAATTGAAACTTTTTTAGACGCGTATGATGCTTTTTAAAATTATACAATTATATCTACTGCCCTTACTGTAATAAAAAATAAATGGGAGGGCCTGGCTCATCAGTGGTGAACCCTCCCAGTGGCCAAAATATAAAAATAATTAAGAAATTGTTGGATAAACGGATAACAGATCATTACCCCTTGGGTAAAATACTGTGGGTTTATCTGCGTGTTGAGGGTTCTGTGGTATTCTTCGGTCTATATATGTACTGTTATTGCTATTTGAGATTAATGATTACAGAATGAGTCTATTATATTTCAAAATAGATTTTGGAAATATAATATTTTACATCCTGTAGGTTGATTTGATGGCCGGTGGATTCTTTATGCTGATATGCTAATGATCTATTGTCGTGATTTGTAATGTTATGGATGTGTTCTTTGATTCTGGTGGCGACTGATTGGCTCGTTTGTCTTATATATGAGGCTGTTTTCAGGATGCTGAATATATTGTGCTGATTTACAGCTTCTATTTCACTGTGGGATTTAATAATTGGGTTTCTTATGATTTGACCACTGGACTGAGAGTTGCTGAATAAACATCTTATGTCGAATTACTTTAAATCACAAGCCCGTTTTTGATTGGTTGTAAAATATTCCAGGTAACAATTGGCTCGATATACTGTCTGTTTCTTGGAGAGGAATTGGTTGTAGGTGTGCTTCAGTATGAATTCTAGCGGGAATCCGGACTTTTGCAGGTTTCGAAAGAAATTGAGATTTTCCATTTTCAAAACAGGTAGAGAGCAATGCGTAGTAATTATTTTAGTTAGTATCTTAAATATTTTATGACCTATTGGACCAAATGACTTAAAACTAAGATGGTTCTATTTCTTTTTTTTTGTAATAAACGGTAGAATGAAATCTTTGTACGGTTCTATAAGGATGAGTATATCTAAATAAGATAGTGCTGCTTTGATTTCTGTCTCCATTGTGAATTTATTCTAGGGGTTGTAATTGTTCAAAGTGTTTGAAATTTGATTTTCTTCATCTATTTCAAATTCACAAAAATACATCATTGAAGTACCAGTATCATTTCTTCAAAGCTATTGATCCATATATATAAATTTTTAAAAATGCCCCAATGGCCCCCGATTCTTGCAAAAGTCCAACCCCACCAGCGAGTGCAAGTCCCCAAACGGGGCTCTGGCACATTTATAAGTGCAAAATCGAACTGCTTTCCACGTGTGTAGACATGTGGTGCACTTACAGTAAAAGCAGTCGCCTACTTCGACTCACCATGATTATCATGGCCTATACCCCGTGTACTTGGGATAAACAAAAAAATAATAATAATTTCAACAGACCATCTATAAAATGAATAAAGCTTCCAGGGCTAAGTTTCTTGACTATCTATGCAGCTGTTATTGATAATGGGCTCCCTATGGGGGAACCACAAATCTGTTGGTAGATTCCATCTTCAAATATAAAAATCATCATTGGGAGACAGAACTGAAATAAAGTGATGACTTTCTATGGCATCAGTCGAACTTTGACTTAATGTCCTTCAGATTGTCTATTATTAAGTTATGGAGTATAGACTGAGAAATAAAGATACAACATCAAAGAAACAAATTCTACACTTTTATATAAATTGTAGGTATTTGCAAAACAATTTGCCTAATGATGAGCTGATGCTTGCCATTTTAACTTAATAAACCTATTGCAATTGGTATTGGTATATTGTGATTACACATTTGCAATTATTTTTAAGAATCTTTAGATAAATTTGCTTTCTCCCTTACATGTGAAGACATGCGGTGCAGACTTACAAAAACAAATGGACGTTAAATACCTCATCACAATTTCTCATGTAGTACTTCATATATTTACCAGGTTAGGAGGTAAAATGTTTTCAAGAAGCTCCATCTAGATGGGACACCTGTCAATCATCCCTGGACCCCGGGGGGACCACAGGTGTGAGGGGTTCTCGGTAACTTATCTGCAAATAAGGAAAACGGGACGGTGGCTGACGACGCTCATCATTATTATCTTTACCTTGGGATAAGTTGTATTATTATTATCTGACCCTCTCTCTCCCTATAAATACCTCTTTTAGATAATTTTATTGGAGAACTAGAAGGTAAATACCCACCTTTATAATAAATTTATTATTCCCAAATTTGCCCTTGCTTTATTTATATCCGCGACAATATATATAAACGCTTTCAGACTTTCAGGCTGAACCAAGAAAATAAAAAGAGGGAGTTGAGTAAAACATAAAATATATGGCAGAAAAGCCACAGTACTTGTGTTACACTTTGTTTTGATTTCTGCCATTCACACCAACAGATGATACATGATGTTATTTGAAGTTGTAAGAGTATGGATAAACACAAATAGGAGTAGAGAAAAGAGGCATTAGACAGGTATTTTGTGATGCTGAACCATCCAATGAAGAGTCATGATAGCTATGATAGATACTTGGGTTATATAATTTCATAAAAACCACGAAATCGTAAGGCGCGAAAGGTTTAAGTTTATAAAAGAAACCTTTCACCTAATGATTTCGCGATTTTTATGAAAGATACTATTTAATACATCATCCACCTAGAGCCAAATATCGATAAAAATTATAAACATTTTAGCGCTACTTTTCTTCCAATTTATACACTGCGTGACATTGAAAATGGAACACCAAGAAATAGTGGCCAGAAAATTATGCAAATTTCAGGGTAGACGCGCCTAACCGAGTTATGCAAATGATGTAAAATGCGCAGCTCTCGTGCGCACATGGAGTAAGATATAAGGGAAGGAACTTGCAGAAAGGACAGTATTCGTGTCGTTATTTCTTCAAGGAAAATCATTGTAGAAATTTTGTTCTTGTGTCAAAAGACACGTGTAATAACAGAGAATGCCAGGTCATCGTAAACGGAGGCAGTTCAAGCAGACAGACGCTTTTACGAGGGGCATGGTGATCGGACTGAAAAGGGCAGGTTGGTCCATACGTCAAATCGCAGCTGATACACACCTTGGTGCGTCCACGGTGCACCGACTGTGGAGAAGATGATTGGAACAAGGAAATGTGGCAATTTATAGGAATGTCGGTGCAACCAGAGTGACGTCAGCACGTGTGGATCGGCGTATCCTTCGACAAGCAGTGGCAGCCCCACAAGCCACTTGTACCGCCATCCTGCAACATGTGCAAGACACCCTAGTTCATTCCATCTCGACCAGAACCATTTCCCGTCGATTGGTTGCTAATGGCTTGCACTCATGCCGTCCGCAAAGAAGACTGCCATTGACCCCACCGAATAGGCGCCAACGTTTGGAATGGTGCCGGGCTAAGTCGACGTGGATGACGGAATGGCACAGGGTCGTGTTCTCAGATGAGTCGCGTTTCTGCTTGTCCAGTGATAGTCGCCGTGTACGCGTGTGGTGTCGACGTGGAGAAAGGTCCAATCCGGCAGCAATTGTGGAACGCCCCACCGTGCGACAACGTGGAACCATGGTTTGGGGCGCAATCGCGTATGATTCCAGGTCACCTTTACTTCGTATTCAGGGCACTATGACGGCCCAACGATACGTTGATGATGTGCTGCGACCGGTGACACTCCCCTACCTTCAGGGGGTACCCAATGCCCTTTATCAGCAGGATAACGCCCGACCGCACACTGCTCGCATTAGCCAACAAGCTCTGCAAGATGTACAGATGCTTCCCTGGCCACCGTACTCTCCTAATCTCTCACCAATCGAGCACGTCTGGGACATCATTGGACGCCGTTTGCATGCCTTGCCGCAGCCGCGTTCAGAAGACGAACTGTGGCAAATGGTTGAGAGGGAATGGAGAGCCATCCCTCAGGACGCCATCCATACTCTGATTGACTCTCTACCTAGATGTGTTGCTGCGTGCATCGCCGTCCGCGGTGGTCCTACTTGCTACTAAGCCGACGCCGTTCTTGCTCTCTGTATTATGACTATCATTTTGAAATAAAGATCACTTATTGTTCGTCCCTGTCTCTCTCTGTCTGCCGAGTTTCATCACTTTCTGGCCACTATTTCTTGGTGTTCCATTTTCAATGTCACGCAGTGTATATAATCACTATTTATTTCTACAGCCCTTATTCTGAAATGAATAAAAATTGAAAGAGGGACGGAATGGCTCATCAATGGTGAACCCTCCTAACAGTTTCGCCATTTTAACCTCCAGACTGCATCACTATTGTATTAAACTCAGTTTCTTATATATCCTGTACTTGAATACAATAAATTGGTGTTTTAACTACAGTCAGTTCCCCTCCTACCGCCCTCTCAGTTACAAGATACACACATTAAATAGTATTTCAGCAAATGTCAAAACTTGGAAATCACTTATTAATTTTGATACATTTTCACAACCCATCTGAGAGTATAAACCCCCAGTTTACCAATCAATATGTAGTATTCCTCATTCATCTGACTCAATAGCAAGCTATCTCAAAGTTCGCAGTAGTTCACTAATTCAAACCAAAATTTCCATACATAGGTTAAAAAAAAAAAAAAATACGGGGAAGACGATAGGCTATTTTAAAAAATATATAAATCAATTATTAAAACTATATTCAAATTATTCTACTTACCTCACGAACAGCGCCTTCTATCAAAGATTAGATTAAATTATGCTGATGCAAACAAATAGATAATGCTAATAACAAACAATCATAAAAGAATCTTATCTAAATATATATCACTCGGGTAGATTTGCACACGGGTCAATCCCGGGGCGAAGCCCGGGTCACCCGTCTAGTAAGATTATATAAGGTTAAATACAGAATAAATATGAATATGAATAAATATGATTATATAATGATAAATATATGAATAAATAGATATAGATATATAAAACAACTAGCGGACGTACCCGGCTTCGCCCGGGTTTTACCCGAATAAAGGTTTGTCTAACGAATCTCTCGATAAAGTGAACATTTTTTCCCGGTCCCTTGAAAAATACTCTTTAAGTTGAATAAAATCAATATTAATTTGTTTCCTCGGTAATTGGAAGTAAAAGGAATAGTATCTTGCCTTGGAATTGTATCATAATTCTTGTATGGATGTACCCGGCTTCGCCCGGGTTTTATCCGAGTAAAGGTTTGTCTAACGAATCTCTCGATAATGTGAACATTTTTTCCAGGTCCCTTGAAAAATACTCGATAGGTTGAATAAAATCAATATTAATTGGTTCCCTCGGTAATTGGAAGTTAAAGGAATAGTATCTTGCCTTGGAATTGTATCATTATTCTTGTCTCAAATAAATTGCCGTGTCATCCTGAATTTTGTCTTTCCTAATTTTCTACATTACAAAATCATCGTATCATCATGATAATATTTAGAGCAGATTGTTGAATTATAACAGATAAATTAGAATATTTATCTTGAGTATTTTTAGGCGAAAAGTTATTTCAAAAATTTTATTTGCTAGAAACCTTCCCAGTACTATATTAAATAACTTCCCAAAGTTTCATGGCGTTCCAATGAGTGGTTTGGTCAGGCATAAAGGACAGACAGACACACATACATTCATTTATATACTAGCGGACGTACCCGGCTTCACCCGGGTTTTACCCGAGTAAAGGTTTGTCTAACGAACATTTGTTAAAACAATTCTCTATAAACTTATATATATAAAAAATATATATATTTTGATAATTTGAAAATCGTAAATTTGAATCTCTCGATAAAGTGAACATTTTTTCCCGGTCCCTGTGTGCCGTGTCATCCTGAATTTTGTCTTTCCTAATTTTCTACATTACAAAATCATCGTTTTATCTAGTGAACATTTTTTCCCGGTCCCTTGAAAAATACTCGATAAGTTGAATAAAATCAATATTAATTGGTTCCCTCGGTAATTGGAAGTTAAAAGAATAGTATCTTTGCTTTGGAATTGTATCATTATTCTTGTCTCAAATAAATTGCCGTGTCATCCTGAATTTTGTCTTTCCTAATTTTCTACATTACAAAATCATCGTATCATCATGATAATATTTAGAGCAGATTGTTGAAATATAACAGATAAATTAGAATATTTATCTTGATTATTTTAAAGCGAAAAGTTATTTCAAAAATTTTATTTGCTAGAAACCTTCCCAGTACTATACTAAATAACTTCCCAAAGTTTCATGGCATTCCAATGAGTGGTTTGGTCAGGCATAAAGGACAGACAGACACACATACATTCATTTATATATATATAGATAGATTGATAAATATACATACATATAAATATATACAAGTCGTCATTGGTTACCCCCCACTGCGGGAAAGACCCCGCCACCGGTGGACTGCGAGAGTTCTTTCCCACAGAGAGAGAGAGAATATTGATTATAATTTGAATCATTTGAAGGAGTGTCTTCTATGACATAAACTAATATGATCACATATATATAACGCTTGTAAGATAATATACAGAGAGAACATGGTATTACAGGCTACTAACCATAGTACATGAATTTTCAGCCCAAGAATGGATATAGCAAGCAGACAAACCGTAATTCACTATATCAAAGTACCAAGGTGCTACACGCTACCAAGATTGTTCATAAAAAGGTTAGAAGTATGACTTGCAGATAACTATTCATGCGGAAAAAGTTCTTCTGTTGAAGGGTATCTTTGTCTGAAAGCTAAAGAAATAAAAAAAAATAGCACGTGGCCTTGTTTATTTTTATTAAAAAGTAAATGAACTAGATAATGAATATGCGTACCTCCTCCGTACCATCAAAACCCAATGCCTGCAGGAATGTAAATCTAATGCTGCACATGACTGGTACAGAGCAGGAGGGACAAGCACCGGTACTGCCCTCCCAAGAGAACAACAGTCTTTGATTTCCAGACTTAAGTCTGGTCATCTACGGACAATGACTTTCCAGAATGGTTGCAGTGTTTTCCCACTATATACTAAGTGCAATTCTCAGCCTGCAACCCCAAGACACATTATTGACTGTATTGACTCATCCCTTAATGAGCTGTACTCTTCCCTGGCAGACACCATCAAAAGTCTCAAGCTTTACAAGCTTGATACCTTAGTGTGATTGAGTGGAGATAAGAAAGAAGAAGATAATGAATATGCTTCCAAATAACAATTTAATGAAAGAGTGTACAATAATTATTTACCAACCCAATATCGTTTTGTCTTTTAGATGAACTTACCATCTTGATGAGACACCATATTTACATGAAAAGAGTATAAACACAAAAGGTTCGATTTATCAATGATTTACATATGCTGTAAAACTTAACATCAGACTTAGAAATGATCAAAATACTATCTCCAATGGGAAATTATGCAAAAAAAAAAAGACAAGGTTGTGACAACTTTAAAAAATAGATACTTCAACTAGTTAAAGTTTTATTTTCTTTTTAACTAAAACTTTAACTGGCCGAAGTGATTAACTGACCGAAGATTTTTAAGAAATATGAATGCCAGCCAGGCAAAAACTCTATCTTCAAGATAATAAAATAGGTCGTTCAAAACATTTTTAGGAGTGGAATGACATTATATTAGAATAAAATTTAATAATTATTTTTGGCATCACACACACACACACACACACACATGTTTCTCCTTACATATATCATTAATATTATCATAGACCCAGAACAGCAGCTTTACACACCCAAGATAGTGAACATTGCTACTGCTGTGATAGAGATGAATGGAGACATCTGAGGCTCTTCTTTGGACACGACAACAACAACAACATTAATATTATCTCTACAGACCTTTAAATGCAATAAAACAAATTATCTCAAACGATAACGTTTAGCATTGCAGTAAGGTATGTAGAGATAAGATTTGATGATATGTGTGAAAATAAACATTGTGAAAAATTATTATTACAAAATTTACCGATAGATGTAATTGAATTAAAATACATTAGAATATTTTATGGAGGACACAAAAACAGTTACGTCTGGTAACTTATAGAGGACAAGGATCCAGAAAGTTGAGCCAAAGGAAAGAACAAATGTCAGTATTTGATGCTGATGATTTGGCAAAATACAAGATACAATTTTACACAAATAAATTTACTGGCAATGCGTTTCTTTTTTAAATCTCTACAGACCTTAAAAAAAGAAACGCATTGCCAGTAAATTTATTTGTGTAAAATTTTAACGATAGAGGTCAATAAAATTTAATTTACTAAAAATACAAGATAATTAAACTAAAGATAAGGAAAGATCAAATATGCGTAATAACCTCTGAGAGAAGAATTACAAAAACAAGAATCAGAACTAAACATTATAACAACAACAACAACAGCTTTATTAGGACATTTCCGTCCTGTAAGGACTCGCCATACATCATTTTTATGGAGAAAAGGGGGGAAAAACATAAACAAAGGAGAGAAGGGAAACGGAAATCAAAGTATTCAACATAACTATATAAATTAACTATGGAAGGAAATTGTTCTGTAATTACTAAACAATATAAAGGAATGACAATACATCCAGATGGCACAAGAACCTACAGGACATACAAAATTTGTCCTGGTGTGAAACTAACACCTACCTACATATTCTTATGGCCGTAGCTTTGCAGAAAATTGGAATGGACCCAGAACAGCAGCTTTACACACTCAAGATAGTGAACATTGCGACTGCTGTGATAGAGATGTATGGAGACATCTGAGGTTCTTCATTGGACACGACAACAACAACAAGGATTTAGTGATCTTTGATGTAGAGAGAGTGAAAAAGTTTTCCTAATATTTTAAAAGCCTTAAATAAATATAATTGTAAGATCTATATAATGAATCTTTATACAAGCATAATAGAAAAAATCAAAATCTTGAAGTGTATATTAACCATTTCCCCTCGTGTCATTTTGTACCCGTAGAAGGACATCTTACCAGAAAGCTTGTACAATCATCCTCTTATATAAAAGAATATCTTCTCCCTGACTTGTGTTTATTTTTCTATAGTGAATAGAAAGATTATCGCTGTGTTAATAATAAAATTGTTCATAAAAATGTTCAATTGAACAATATCAATTGCTAGAATTGCCGAAAACTTGATGTACCTTGGAAAAGGTTGGCTTTCATCGAATCAGTATAATGGTAAAGTAAGCAATTTTATTCTACAATATATACTGTCTTCTTTTATAATAAGTTTAAACGCGCGATCTTCTTCAAGAAGGGTAAATATTAAATTAAATTAAACATACCTCTCTCCTTATGTCCATAGTTTGATACCATAACCAAATTCAGCACTGAATATCGGATATATAGGTAGAATCCTTCACTACAATAGTAGAGATATAAAAAGTGGTATATGATAAATACAAGGGGCGTTCCAGAAGTAATGCTTATAACTTGTACCCCACACGAAAGCGCCTGCAGCCGGCCGATGGTGGCTTCAGGTGGAACGTAGCCGTGGAAGTGGTGAAGGATAAAACTCAAAACAAGGTTTTTAGCCGAACAGGCGCGAACGACAAGCCGCGAAAGAAGTGAGGCCACCTCACAAGGCCGTTCGGCAGACGGTTGAAGGCTGCCACTATCTGGTCGCGGGAAATGTCGACGAGAAAGAGCTGGTCTTGTTCGTCGAACTCTAAGGAGTCACTTCAGCGAGGAACTCGGCGATGGTTTCGGCCGAGGTAGGAGCTTGGGAAAAGCGGCTACCGAAGCGTTCCACCAGGAAACGCCTCATTTGGCCCCCTGAGATGACGTTGCCGTTGTCGTCGGTGAAGATGGGAGGAGAGTGATGTCTGACTCGGAGGGAACGCCTGAGGTCCGACAAGGAAGGATAGTCGGAGCAGGCAGTGTCGTCCTCCAGTCCCCGCCTCAGGAAGTAGCATGCACTCTGCGACGGCAAGCGCGAGTGACCTATCTCTGGACCAGATCTGCTATGATCCTGGTCCATTGTTCCCATAACATCAGGGTGAAAGATTTGATAGGTATTCCTATATTTTATAGATCAACGTTTCCATTCGATCGACGAACAGGTCTGACCGTAGCAGCTTATCGATGCAGGGAAGTCTTGTAGGAGCTGGTTCTACAACTTAAACCAGGATGGCGCGGTGGTCCGAGTAGGAAAAATTGATGAATTGGGTGACGCGGTTGAAAGAGATTGGTGGAAGTAGAATTCTGTCTAAACGATGCGCGCCAAATATACTTCCGATAGTCACAATATAGTTAAACCTGTATATAGCGCTCTCTTTAAATAGCGCCTACCTCTCTATAGCGCCCCATTTTAAACATTAAAATGTAAACATTTTACATTAAAAGTGACCTGTGGTGAGTCCCAAGAGGGGGCGCTATAGACAGGTTTAACAATACATAGTATTCATTATATATTTATATAATATTATAGAGTGTTCTATATCATAATATAAACCATTATAAAGTAACTAGCGGATGCACCCGGCTTCGCCCGGGTTTTACCCTAGTGAAAGTTTACCTAACGAATATTTGTTAAAGCAATTCTAGAAAACATCCAATCCCTACTGAATCTATACTTGGCAATATAACTTTATGTTTGATTATCTGCTCCACCTAGCTGTACCCGTTCAAACGTTGCTGTATTTGAACAAAAAATAAGTTTTAATACCTAAATATTAATAATTAATGATCAAATGTATACAATACATCAAAATGAAAATTAACAATAAAATTATCCCTACATAAATTTCATTTGAATATAACATAAGTAAAAAATAATAGATATATTTTGATAATTTGAAACTCGTAAATTTGAATCTCTCGATAAAGTGAACATTTTTTCCCGGTCCCTTGAAAAATACTCGATAAGTTGAATAAAATCAATATTAATTATCATTATTCTTGTCTCAAATAAATTGCCGTTTCACCTGAATTTTGTCTTTCCTAATTTTCTAAATTACAAAATCATCATTTTATCTATTCTCCCAATATATACGAGGTGTGTTCAAAAAGTATCGCGACTTTAGAATTTTCGCGGGTTACGTATATTCGAATTTCGATCTTTTTGTGGCTTTATGTTGGTACTCATCTCTCTCACTTATGCCGACAAGCTCGGCCATTTTGAATGTTCACTTAATTGTTGACAGCTGCTTTGCTTGCAGGTGTTTTGGATCGTCTTCGATTTTACCTATAAAAAAAAAAATGGATCAAAGAACCTGTATCAAATTTTGTGTGAAAAACGAAATTAAGTGCGCGGATGCATTCCGAATGTTGACTGTGGCATACGGAGAAGCTACCTTGGCCCGAAGAAACGTTTATCGGTGGTACAAAATGTTCTCAGAAGGCCGAGAAGATGTGAACGACGAAGAGCGTGCCGGACGCCCGAGCACTTCAACAACAGACGAAAAAATTAATGAAGTGGAGAAAATGATATTGGCCAATCGTCGAATCACCTTTAGAGATGTTGCTGAGGACCTAAACATATCGATTGGCTCGTGCCATTCGATTTTTATCAATGATTTGGGCATGAGACGGGTCGCCGCGAAATTCGTACCAAAATTGCTCAATTGCGACCAAAAACAACATCGCATGAACATTGCTAATGAGATGTTGGACTCTGTCCGCGACGACCCAAATTTGCTCCAGAGGGTCATTACTGGTGACGAAGCGTGGGTTTATGGTTATGACGTGGAAACCAAAGCTCAATCATCTCAATGGAAGCTGCCGCACGAACCAAGACCGAAAAAAAGCGCGCCAAGTTCCGTCGAATGTGAAAGTTTTGCTGACAGTTTTCTTCGATTGCAGGGGCGTGGTGCATCATGAGTTCTTGCCACAGGGTAGAACGGTCAATAAGGAATATTACCTGTAGGTTATGCGCAATTTGCGCGAAGCAATCCGCCAGAAACGCCCGGATTTGTGGAAGAACAAAAATTGGCTTTTGCACCACGATAACGCCCCTGCTCACACATCGTTGCTTGTGCGCGACTTTTTGGCCAAAAACAACACACTAATGATGCCGCAGCCACCGTATTCCCCAGATCCGGCCCCCTGTGACTTTTTCTTGTTCCCTAAACTGAAGAGGCCCATGAAAGGACGACGTTACGCTATGCTTGACGAGATAAAGACGGAATCGAAGGAGGAGCTGAAAAAGATTTTTAAAAATGATTTTTTGAAGTGCTTCGAAGATTGGAAAAACCGTTGGCACAAGTGTATAATATCTCATGGGGATTACTTTGAAGGGGACAAAATAGGTATTCATGAATAAATAAATAATTTTTGAAAAACACAAAAGTCGCGATACTTTTTGAACACACCTCGTATGTTGTAGATAAATGATAAAACTAACTTTGACTTGTGCGCAATTAATAGGTAGAAAATCTTACTTTTGATAAATAATCTTTAAGATAATAAACATAGTGATAATAAAACTTATAGATAAAAAAACTTGTTATCATCGTCGCTGCTTGCGAGTTAAATCTACAAATCTACAAATAACTCTAAGGATATTCGGGATATTCAAGAAATTATTTTTCTAAAACCTTCCCGGGGATATACCTAATAATATCCCAAAATTTCACGGCGATTGGATGAATGGTTTTTGAATCTATAGAGTACAGACAGACAGACATTCAATTTTATATATATATAGATTTGGGTTAGGCAAA